ATATGTGTATAATCCCATTTATATGAAGCATCTAGATACAGAAACAGAAAATAGATTAGTGGTTATCATGGGCTGGGACTCGGGGTGGGGGGAGTTACTGCTTGATGGATACAGAACTCCTGTTTGGGGCGAAGAAAAAATTTTGGAAGCAAATGGTGATGGTTGCACAACTCTGTGAATGTGATTAATGCCACTGGACTGAACACTTGAAAATGGTTAAAATGGCAAATTTTATATTGTGTATATTTTAACACAATTTTTAAAAAAATGAGGTAACTTCCATCATTATTCCTGTTTTACAGAGGAGAAAACTGAGGTTCAGAAAGGTGAAGTGACTTGCTCAAAGTTTACACCTAGTAGAAGGGGAGCTAGGGGTCCAGTCATTCAGATCCAGATCATCCCACCACTGGAGAGGATGTAGGAGGGTCCATCCAGTGAGAAAGGAGCTCTGGAGGTGTAGTTAAGGCATTTGGCTGCTAACCAAAAGGTTGGTGGTTCGAACCCACCAGTCACTCTGTGGAAGGGAGATGAGATGGTCTGCTTCCATAAAGATTTACGGAAGAAACCCAATGGGGGTTGCTATAAGTTGGAAGTGACTCGATGGCAGTGAGTTTGGGTCTTTTTGGTTTGTTCAGTGAGAAGGGAGATAGGGAGCTGGGGGAGGGGGTAGCTCTCACGACAGAGGTCAGGGGCCCTGTGAGGATACCACAGGAAATCAAGGGAGGTGCCTGCAAGGCTGCAGTGTGGTCACAACCTGCCCTTGGTAATGGGCTGCTCCTGTCTGTTTTGATTTCCTGCCATTATTTCCTCTCTGCTTTTCCTGTGGAATGGATAACGTGCTTTTGAAAAATGCCAGTGTGGTGGTTAAGGAAATTCTGGTCCTTACAATGGAATCTTGTGCAGCCATTAAAAAGGTGAAGGTTGATCTGCTTTCTGCTCTGGAAAGATCTGGACATACTGCTAGGAGGAAAAGAAAGCTGTAGCACACCTTAGTGCAGTCCCATTTTGGTTAGAATATGATCTCCACCTTGCCAAAAAAAAAACCCTCACCATGTGTGTTTGTATATACACAGCATATGCATGAAGAAAGATGCTGTTGCAACTGGTACACCATGCAGTCCTCAGCCTATTCAACTATGAGAC